CACTGTCATGTGGCTACTGTTATGAATCGGGCGACCCCTGTGAAAGGGTCATTCGAACCCCAAAGGGGTCGCAACCCACAGGTTGAGAACCGCTGGATAGCCCTCCTCATGCAGGAGCCTGAAACCCTGTCTCCAGACCTCTGACAGGCTACCCTCCAGCAGATTCTAAGGGGAAGTGCTTCTCAGGGGAAGCACAAGGAAAACCCGCCCAGCCATTCCACCTGTGTACGAGGGAATGAAACCAGGCGCAGCTCTGCAAAGCTGGTGCCTCAGATACGGGGCAGCCAGACAGAATGACTGCGAATTTGCCTCGGACAAAAATGTAAAAAACGACTCTTTGTAGGCACCAGGTATGGACCGAGCTCACAGCTGTGGCCTGGGCAGGGCAGAGCCCCACATCTTCCCAGGCTTCCCCAGGGGCACTTTCCAGGCTGCCCAACAGAGAGGAAGTGGAGAGCGGGCTCGGAGCTTGGGGCGCAGGCTGGTGGGCTTGGGGTGCAGCAGGCAGGGCACAGAGAGGGTTTCTGTGTGGAGGTTTCCTTAGCTGTCAGCTGAGCCTGGTCTGCACATGGACAGGGCAGGTCGGGAGGCCGGTCTGAGAGTGCTGCTTGGAGTTGTGTGGACCTCCTGGTGTTGTGGGAGTTTTGTGTCTCAGTCCCAAGCTCTTGGGACCCCAGCCAAGCAACACCCTGCAGAGGTCTGAGTGTCAGCTCCTCAGATCCCCTTCTACCCACTTCCACCTTCGAGTTATGCCAGCCTTTCTTCCCTTGGTTCTCTGAGTCCTAAGGGTGGCAGCTGCTCCCTGCAGTTACTACCCCCATGCCACATGGTTAACAGCTCTTGATAGGAAGCTTTCTGTGTCACCTGACTGGCCCTGGGCGATCTCGCTACATTGTCGTTGTGTGTTGGCAGTCCCAGAGGGTCCCAGGCAGCTATCTTTCCAGTAGCAGATCACCCGGTCTCCTCTCCTGTAGAGCCAAGGGCAAGTTCGAACCGCCAAGAAAGCCCTGTGGAGCAATGGGTCAGAATCCACGTGATAGCACATCTCAACAGACTGGGCCACAGTGCTGGGAGATGGAGCTCTTGGAAGAGACCAGAAAAGCCTACAGATAATCCCTGGTGGCCCAGGGTTGTGGGTTTGCCTGAAGCAATGGGGGCTGAGGCGGGAGGCCAGGCTTTGTAAAGTGATGTCTCAGTTGGGTCAGGTAGGGAGGGGAGGTCTTCAGAGACCACCTCAGACTTTTTAGTTTTTCAGAGGAGGGGACTGCAGTCCAGGATAGGACGGGGCTTGCTCAAGGTCAAACAGCAATCCAAAGGCAGAGCTAAGATGAGAGCCTGGGTTTCTGACAAAAACGTTTCTCATTCGTGATAGAAATTTATTTCTAATAGGATAGAAGCTTATTTGGTTTTCATGTGCAGACTCAAACAGGCATTCCTGGTCTGTGGCTGGCTCTGCCCCAGTGTTGATGCAGAGGCCCAGGCTCCTTCCATGTTGTGACTCCATCATTTCCAATACTTAGCTGCAGGGCGTAAGAGGGGAGAGAAGACAGTGAAGAGGACACACCCACTTCCTGCGTCCCTGACACAAAGATGAAGGGATGGGTAAGGGGCAGAATGAATGAAGAGAGCAAAGGAGGAGCCACAAGGACTCCTGGGTGATGAGTGTGTTGGTGCTCTTTACAGGCCCACGAGTTGATTGGATTGACAGAAGGTCACCTGAGCTCCAGTTCCCATCAGGCCCCAGAAACAGGGAGCTCAGTTAGGACCCTGACATCTCATCAAAGCGTCAGCAGCAGGAGACACCCGATGAACCACGCGTCTCAGATGTCCATGCCTCTCTCGGGGCCCTCCTTGGCTCCTGCTCTGTGTCTCAAGGTCAGTGTCCTGGGATAGAGGATGTGATGGATCCAATGAATCAGCCCAGCTTGTCGGTGTTCTACTCTGGCAGAACCGTGATGAGATGCTTGGTTGCTGCAAGCCAAAGGCCAGTGGTTTCCCCCTTCCCCCTCTTGTTGGGCAGAATCTTCAGAACACATGGTAGATAAGTGCTACTTGTGATTGATTGGTCTTTCTTGGGTCATTGGCCTGTGCCCGGTTTTGGCACAGGCAGCAGTGGCCTCTTCTGTGAAGGAGCCCTGGACACAGCTATGTGGGCTCAGCAAGCTTTCTGAGGCTTGGCTAGTGTAACTAGTAAATGTCCCTTCTTTACACCTCAGTGTTCTGACCCTTAAAACAAAGGGCTCAGGTCACCTGATGCTACTACGTCCTCCATATTCGATGCAGTGTGAGCTAGGGTCACACAAGCCGCTGGAACAGATAAGCCCCCACCCCCAATACTTCACTGGATTATTATTCTAGAACGTAGTTTTTTGCCCACCAGCCAGCCCGTGAAGGGCAAACCGTGACGGGCCAGCTGCCTTCCGGTCTTGAGATCCTACTTCCTTTAGGGCCTTGGCGTCCAACCAGCAGGTGGAGAAAGAGCCGTTGGAAAAGATCCAACTGTCTCAACTCTCTTGTCCCAGAGATGACGTACATCCCTCCTGCTTATAGTGCATCCCTGAGACCATGTCCCATGTTCACGCAAGATGCCAGGGGCCTGGGGGCCCAGCACGGGCCTTCTGTGTAGAAGAGAAGCCAGAGGCCTACAGGACAGCTAGCCAGTGGGGAACTGGCCTTCTTGGGACGGGCGTCAGCGGTCCCATCCCCGAATTTGCCTCCAGCCCCTTCTTGGGACCAGCGGCCTGCCTCATTCCCGGGGAATCGTGGGCGCAGCCCTAGTTTATGGCTGCAAGAATGATTCGATGCTTTTTCAACCCCGGTCAAAGGGGGCTCAGCCGTGGGCCCGGCCCTCTGCAAGAGCAGCCTGCGAACGGAGGGAGCCCGAAGGAGGGAGCCCGAAGAACAATCCCTGCGTTCTTCAACAAGGAAGAGGCCTGCCGCTTCCATTTCGCCCGTTAATGATTGACCGGATGTTTGCCTTTTCTCTAGGGAGTCTTCTTTTGTTGTTGAGCGCGATGAAGAGAAGAAGCAGAACATCCGAACTTGAAAAGAAATGATGACCGAGGGCCGGGAGGATCCCTGAGAAGGGTCCCAAGGAGAGGAGCGTGTTTGCCAGCCCGCCACCATGTACTCCACAAGCCTGAGGTGAGTTTAGAATCGACACACGCCTTGCGGCGGCGGCAGCAGCAGCGACAACAGCTTTCTTCCCAGGCGCTGTTGACTGGTGGAAACTGGCCCATAGTTTGGGTTCACGAATCTCTAGACAGGCTGAGGCAGGAACCACAAGGCGGGGTGGGGGTGAACCTGAACTCTGGGTCCTGGGCCTGGGACTAGATATCGCTCCTCTCCAGTTTGCACCCTGTGGCTCTCTCTCGTCTGTGTTGTCCAAGCCCCGGGCCGGGACTGAGGGTGCCATGTTCAGCCTGTGGCACTCGGCAGTGGGGAAGAACCCCAGGAGTGATCATGCTAGAGCCAGCTCGTCTGGCCCCTGGCTTCCACGCACACTGGCTGTGTCAGCCTGGACAAGGAGCTTGATCTTTTGGTGCCTCAGTTTCCCCACCTGCGAAAGCCAAACTCATCTCCACCACCGAGTCCATGCTGACTCCTCGTGGCCCCATCAGACAGGGTACCGTGGTCCCTGGGAGTTTCCGAGACTGTGAATCTTCACGGGGGTAGAAAGCCCCCTCTGGCTTTCTCTTGCAGAGCGGCTGGTGGTTCCAAACTGCTGACCTTGTGGTTAGCAGGCTGACCTCAGCACTCTTTCCTCACTCGTGAAGCAGCTTGCTGACAGTGCTCTCTCAGAGGACAGGTCACGAACAGGCACCCCAGCTTGGCGCACAGTCGGGCCATGAGGCCCCTGAGCTTCCCTTCCATCTACCCACCCATTCCGGAGATATTCATGAGCACCAGCTACCACCAGATGTTGAGCCAGGTACTGGCCACACAGAGATGAATAAGGATCCCCACGCATAACAAGCTCCCATCTCAGGGGACACAGACTCATGGTAAGACAGTTGCCAACAGTGGGCTGGCCGCTCAGGCAATTATAGTATGTTCCCGGCTCCCAGCAGTCTGGCCTCTTACTTCAGAAATAACCCCACTCAAACCTGTGGGTCTCCCAGGCTAAGGAGCCCCAATACTCAATTGCAGGTCTGAACTTGAACTTGGGTCTCCTGGCCACGTCTCTTCACATGAGGGCTGCAAAAAGAGGCCAGCTGGCCACTCTGGGCAGAGATGGGTCATTGGGGGCCCCTGACCGGCAGATGGCAAGGGAGACTGGTCATGGGCCAGGCCTGACAGCTACTCCAGTTACTGGTTAACTAGATAAGGGACTGAAGTTCATGGTGTGGCTGGTGGCCCTGATGGAAGGGGAGAGCCTGCCACCCTCTAGCAGGAAGCCTTGGGATGGCAGCCTGGCTAAGTGCCCCATGCCCTGGGTGAAGCTGGGGAGGGACCGGAAGGAACAAGATTCTGTGAGGAGCGCTGAGAGGTCACTGCCCAGCCTGGGGAAGACTGGCTCCAGACACTCTGGCAAAGGAGGAGCCAGGGGCTGGTGCTGAGGGGGAAAGATGCTACCAGTGAGGGTCCCCTTTCAGCTCAGTGGAAGGACAAGTGCCGCTCTTTGGTGAGAACTGACCAAAGCAGGGAAGGGATGGGATGGAGAAATGACACTCCTTCATCTCCCATGCCTGGCACTTGACGCTCATCGTATGTGATTCCCGTGACCCCCTGTGCCGCAAGCACTAGATCCATGTTAAGGATGGGGAGAGTGAGTCCCAGAGAGGGTGCAGCTCATCCGGTTGACAGGACTGGGAGGGGAGGAGCTGGGATTCGCTTTCATGTCTGCAAGGCTGCAGACCAGGCTTCTCCTCTGGGCCTCGCTGACTCGGTAAGATGGAACTTTCTGCCTCGAGGGAAAGAGGGTTCCTCATTGTCAAAAGTGCCCAAGCAGGGCTCCCTGGCTCCCTGATACAGGTGTGGTGTTGTCCAAAACGCCAAACTCCAACCTCACTGCTTTGGAATCAAGGCAGACTCATCGTGACAGGAGTAAAGACCACCAACAGCTCCAGGAGACAGACTGGGCGTTCTACTCCCGTACACAGTTAGCCTCAGAAACACACCGGGGGCCTCTATGCGTCAGCACGAGGACTGGATGGTGTTGTAGAGGGTGGGAAAACACCAGTTGGGGCTGTGTTTGAGAGCCTTTGAGTGACCAGTCCCAAGTCTCAATGATCCCATGTCTCGATGATTCGATGTCTCGATGATCCCAAGTCTCGATGATCTCATGACCCGAGGCCATTTGGGGAGTCTCCATTCTGTGGGAACAGGGCTGCGTCGTGCCGCCCTGTGCACAACAGACACACAGCACAGCATGCTGCTCTCTCCTCCTTCATCCTACTCTCTCCTGCCCTCCCTCCTACTCTGCCATCGCGGGCAACGTTCTTGATCTGTTAGTGCCCCTGTTTGCTCATAGTCTCCTCTCTGCCCATCGTGGTGAGAGTGCAGGGAGTCAGCAAGCACAGGTCATAAATGTGTACCCCAGCTTAGTGCGCAGTCACCCTGGAGACACGTTAGCTTCCCTTCCATCCATCCGTCCATCCATCCACTCAGGACACGTTGGGGAGCACCAGCTCCTGTCAGATGGTGAGCCAGGCACTGGGCACACAGAGAGGCTGGCAAGTCACTGCAAGTCAGTGGCCTCAAGTCACTGCTGAGGTCAAATCCACATTACAGCTGTGACCCAGTTGCACAATAGGCCTCCCTCCCTCCTTTCTTTTCTCTTCTCCTCACTCACTCATTCGCAGCAAACACTCACGTGGATTCTTGATGTACTTTACCCCAAGCCAGAAGCCAGGGATGAATGGTTGGAATTCCAAGTTGAACAAGTCCACGGTCTAAAAGTGAGAGATTGGAAGCAAAAAATCCCATCTGTAGATGAAGTAGAAGCGCTCAGAGCTAGAGTCCTGCAGGCCAGGTGCTGGGGGCCCTGGAGCAGGAGGTAGGACACAGAGACGCTGGTCACACTGTGCAGGAGAGAGGCGATAAGGGCTTGAGCTAGAGTCCCCAAATGGCCTCCCCACTATTTGCACATCTGATCGAGGAATGGTGTGAAGGAACCCGATGGGGCAAAACCAATACTTTCTGAAGGTGTCTTCCAGTCAAAGGCCGGGCGGGGGGCGTGGATCTCTAGCAATCATCCGAGAGCCAAGTCATGGACTTTAACTCATGACCATCATTTTACAAAATAAAATGGAACAAAACATGAGAGAAGGGAATCCAACTGAAACCGTCAGAGAGCACGATGTGTATTAAGGGTATTGCTTTGTGAAAATCACATACACACACATTAACTGGATAATGTATATTGGAGAACAATTTTGACGTGTCAAAAAAACATAACGCCACTGATGTGGGCCCATCTCCTCATTTTACAGAGATGGGAACAAGATTGCAATGTGGAGTGTAGGAGGTAAGGGTCAGGTGGGCTGCTGTGTCTCTTCTGTGTTCTTTCCTTCTAAAGCATAATTCACATTTACCTCCAAACTCAGACGTCATCAGAATCCTGGCCACACTCAGAGCGCATGGCATCCTGGGTAGGGAATAATCACCAGCTCCCTGAACTACGTCCATATATTGTACATGAGTTCGTTATAACCTGCACTGATAAAAAGGATGCAATGCACACAATTCAGAAACAGTAAATGCTCCCAATGCTCTTTATTGCAAATTCCATATAGCTAATTAATTCTCACAGAAGTCTCTCATTGATTTTCGCTGAACTTCTTCATTTGAAGCCAGCTTTGCTTGCCATTGACCAATGAGTCTATATTTCTGACATGAGTGCTGGTTAATATTTTTATTTACATTAATGGATAAGGAAAATGGGAAGCAATAAAGATGTACGTCAGAATGTCACTTTTGTTTGTCAGTGGTTGGGAACTACGTTTTTAATTGGATATGTTCTTATTTATTTATTTTCATTCGGATAAGACTATTTCCTCAATTTCTAATGGTTACAAACAGCATACATTTAAATTCAATCTGCATTATAGTCATTTTCTCAGTCACTTTATAGATAGCCTTCAAAGCAATAATGAAGCCCTGATTTGTATCATTTGCTTGGACATGGTGTAGATATCCCCCTCGTGCTAATGTCCAGCTACCAACATGTCACTACTGAATGGGAAGTTAGGAAGAGAAATACAGTATACATCATGGTATGGTATTTCCACCACACACATACAATAGTGGCATATAATCCTAAGAACACAGATAATATTAAAAAGTAACAAAGGAATTAGGAAGTGACAAACTTGAGTATTTATTACCTTTGTTTGCAAAGTAATTTTTTTATTAGTAACTGTTTTAATTGTAAATGTACATAAATTAACTTTAGGAAAGGTTGTGTTTAACAACTGCCTTGCAACATTCCTGGTAATTTGACAGTTGGTTCTGCCAAGCTGGTACAAGCCATCATCAGTACACCAGAGATGCAACGTGACCCTCAGAGTCCAAGGGAGAGAGCTTCATGGTCTTCTAACTTGTGCTGACTGCAGCACTTGCTCTATGTAGTCCCTGCAGTGGTTGCTGAAATGGAAAGTGAATCCAGGGGGCCAGTATCCATAGCTAGAGACCCCTAAATTAGAGAGCTACCCTATCTACCCTCCATGAGCCCAGCTGTTCTAAGATGCTCCCAGGCTAACTCCCAGCTCAGCCCATCCAACCCAGAGATAAACCCACCAGGGAATCTGGGCTGAGGCAGGGTCATTCATCAAAAAGCATGTTAGGTCTCATACAGGCTAAGTCAGACAGTCTTGTTACAAAATCACAGAATCATTTATTAGAACAAAAAAATCGAAATGTGACGCTATTGTCTATTGTTGCTCAACATGTCCTCCATCTCCATCTACCGACTTCGAAGGCTATGTTTCCGTCTCCCGACCCTTCCTCCAACAATTCCGCACTCTTCAGTCTCACACCACACCGACACGGCACGTTGGGCCTCCTTGAGCAACTCAAATGGGGTTCTTTAATAAAACAAGTCTGAAGGGGCAAGATCAGAGCTGTCGGGCAGATTTCCCCTCCAACAGCCCTAGTTATTCTCAAAGAATGAGTAGGCGTATTGTCCTGGGAAAATACTCCAC